TCTCTCTCTCTCTCTCTCTCTCTCTCTCTCTCTCTCTCTCTCTCTCTCTCTCTGTGTGTGTGTGTGTGTGTGTGTGTGTGTGTGTGTGTGTGATGTGCCAGGTACTAACCTCTGAAGATGGTACCGAGCTGCAGGTACCTCGAAGACGAAGCTGGAGCTATGGCGCTGCAGGTAAGTCTCCCTGGCCTCCGCCAAATCTCTCTCTCTCTCTCTCCAGTACTACTCTAGCTCCTACTAGTGCCCAGCGCTGAAGACTACTGCTAACGCTACTACTACTACTGCAGCGCTCCTCCAGAGTGCGGCTGCCGAATCCTGAAGACTACCTCCCGCCTCCTGAACTGCACGTGAAGTGCCTGGGAAGTCCCTATGAACTACCTGCAGCCTGCAGGGCGGGCCAGTCTTACATAGTGCTGGCCAGTCCAGGAGGCTGCTCTTGCCAATGCCAAAACGTGCCAGACCCTGGCGTTACAGTTCAAACAAAGGTTGTCTTGAAAACAGGCCCAAAATGGCCTGTGCTTAAACCCTGGTCTGGTGCCTGAGTTTCAGGGCAGGTTGATCTTATGAGGGCCTGAAAATGACCCTCCATTTCAGGCTGAAAAGACTCAGGGCCTGGAGGGCCCTTTTTAGGCTGAAATGACACAGGGCCTGTAGGCCCTCCTTGTTTTCAGGCTTTCAGGCTGAAACGACACAGGGTCTGTAGGCCCTTGTTTTCAGGCTTTCAGGCTGAACGACACAGGGCCTGAAAATGGCCCTCGTTTGCAGGCGCAGCATGTAACACCCCCCCCTCCTTATGAAGTCAAGCCGGGTCGAGGGCGAAGCTGACGATCTGAAGGTGGAACCTGGACGCGGGTGGGACGTGGAGCCGAAGATACCGGCTTGCCTTGCATCTTGCGTTCGTAGCGTGCGAGAACATCTGGAGCTGTTGCTTGGAGTTCCGCATGGGTCAACCAACGGTCAGCTTTGTGGGTGCAGTACGCAAAGTGTACCAAGTATTCGGTCGGCCTGTTGTCGTAGCGTCGCTGGGGGATGATGTCGCCGACCTCTTGAAAACCGTCCATAGAGGGTGGGTCTTGCGATCGTCGCCCGGGAAAATCGTCATGTTTCGCTGGCATGTAAAGAGCCAACTTGGAGCAATGAAAGACCGGGTAGACGGGCAAGTGGCCGGGCACCTGAATGGTGAACGAAGGTCCTCCGGGTGCATCCCCAGCGGGTGCCACGATCGGCCACGGCCCCATCCATTTCGGTGGGAGCTTGCGAGAGAGATCTTGTTCGAGGCTGAACTCCGCAGTGGAAACCCAAACGAGATCGCCAGCGCGAAATGGACAAGGAAGACGCTGGCGATTGGCCTGTTGGCTCATGCGTTGCTGCGTCTTAGCCATCTGGTCGCGTGCCTTGACAAGTAGCTCTTGCATCCGACGCAAGAAAAGAAGATGGTCGTCTCTCTCGGCCGCTCGTGAAATGATTGTGTCCAACGGGGAAGTGACCGGCGAGCCGTGCTCGAACTCGAAGGGCGACATCTCGATAGTCGGGTGGATGGATGAGTTGTATGCCAACTCGATATCCGACAGCCTCTCAACCCAATCCTTTTGGTCGGGGCGGATGAGAGTGCGAAGGAGAACCTGTGCCGCCTAATGCGCCCTCTTCGTTTGGCCATCGATCTGCGGGTGGCGAGCCGAACTCGGCTTGAGAGATGAGCCCCATCGTTTGATGAGTGCCAACCAAAAATCGGACATGAACCGAGTGTCGCGGTCGCAGACGATTTCCTTGTGGTAACCCTCGGTTCGAATCCAACCGGCGTAAAGAACCTCGACCAACTCCGGTGCCTTGGCATGATCGCTCATGTCGTAAATGCAACCTTTCAGCGGCACGGCACCGGCCTCAAGAATGATCTCGTGAGAGATCGGCCAATCTGGCACCACACCGGTAGGTAACTCGAAGATGTCGGTGAACTCGTCAAGCAACCGCACCACACGGGGGTCCGCAGAGAAGTCCGTGGGGGAAGAGTCGGCTACCGCGACGGTCGTGTGATCCACACTTGCAAACCTAGGCATTCCCAAAATGATATCGAAAGCCGTGTCCAAAATGTCGAACGTCACCGGTTCGCATGCATAAGATGCGAAATACACTGGTACGGCCTCGATGTAACGGTCGATAAGTTGTTGCGTCCTTTCGTCCGCCAACTTGATCGTCGTCGGGTTTGCCTTCCTCCGAACTTGTGCGCCAAGGCCAGCCCTTTGCATAAAGGCTTGGCTCATGAAATTGCGAGTCGCTCCGCTATCCAGCAAAGCGCTGCAGGACGCTTGCCCAACTTGGATGCGGACATAGAGGAGAGGTGCATTGTTATCATCGTACCTCTGCTTGCGAAACTTGCGGGCCACCTTGGTAACATACGCAAGGATGTCCCCCACCGCAGCTTCGTCATCCGTCGGTGAAGTTGGTGGTGCATAGAAGGATAGATACGTGTGGAGATGAGCGCATAATGCTGCGCATTGCGGTCCCGACAAGCGGCCCGTGGTCGAGAGAGGAAGCCATGCGAAATCCTCCAACGTGAGCGGGTCCAAGACCTCTATGTTGAACTCGCTCACCGAATCCCATGAAGAACCACTTGAAGACGATAAGTCGCCGCTGCCGGACGGAGAAGATGCCGCACACACGTCTTGTCCTTGAGCATGAGTACCCAGCGTAGGAACGAGGCGGGCAGCATAGTCCTCGTAAGAATATAGAAGAGGACTATCGACTTCCGCATGTGCCTTGGAACGAAGGACGGTCACCCGCGAAGCGACCGGTTCCGAAGGCGTCGAGAGTGTCGTCGATTCACTCCCAGCGGTGCTCAGTTTCACGACTTGCCCTTGCCTTCCGACGACCAACCCACTTTGTCGTGGAGATCACTGTTACACCACAGATAATAGCAGAATCTCGTGCGTACCGTGTACGCACATTTGGCGAGACCGTAGTGGGACCATGGGGCTGGAGCTGCTGCGTCGGGCCCGGGGATAGATGCGGAGTTTGTCTTCGTATTGCCCCGTCCTCAGCCTTTGTCGGGGCGACCACTATCCCGGGCGGTTGCGAGTCTCTCCCCTTCAATGGCAGACACGGCCTCGCTAGAAGGGTCGGTTGGCGTTGCCACCGCGACCACGGCCACTTTCGGTCAATGTTGATCTCTGCTCAGGCCTGTGGCAGACAAACGGTTGAGGTTTTTGGCCTCCTTGTTCGTGACAATGATCTGTGCGGCCTTGTCAAAAAGCTCCGCCGTTGTCGTCAAGGTGTCCTCGACGTGAGTCAAGGCGTTGCCCACCGTCGAACACGACCTCGTGATGAAGTAGTGTTTGACGACCGTGAAGCCCATCTGAATGTCTAGGACGGATGTCAAGCGTTGGTACTCGGCAATCCAGTCAACAGTCGGCAACATGCCTTGTTCGAAGGTCAGCAATTTGTCCATTGCCTTGATCTCCAGCGGCTCTACTTGGAACCGCTCATGCCACGCCGCCTTTAGATCATCCCAACTGATCTTGGTGTACAAGTCGGCAGCTACCACCCCGTACTTGGACAAGAGATTGTCCAACCATGCTTGGCACGCGCCCCCCGACCGGGAGTATAAGTACTCGTGTTTCTTGTCCTCGCTGACGTGATGCAGCTGCAACTTGAGTTCAAACTTGGGGAACCACGGAATCGAGTCCGTCTTCGTCGAATCGCAGAAGATCTCCTGACCATCGAACTTCGGAGTCGTCTCGCACGGTGTCGAACTAGGGTTGGCGGCGACAGTACAGATCCACTGCTCCAGTTGTTGTGTGGCGGTTTGCTGTAGCTGCGCGCCGTCCTTGAGGGCTCCGAAGTCGATCTCCAATGCATTGAGGCGATCGGAGGTGTTGGAGGAGCTGGCAACGGGGCCGGTGACGGGCGTTGCTCCAGCTGCTGGATGCGGTTGTTGAGTTGATCAAACGCCCATTTGTGTGTCTGAACCACGTCGTCGAGGCTATGTCCTCCTACTGTGCAATGCACGTTGCCAGGAGATCCATGAAATGGGAGAGTAGAGCGATCTTGCTTTCACTCTCTCCCATCTTACCATTCTTGGCCTCGGCTGGCCAGTCCGCTGCCATTGTGAGCAAAGCTCGCTCTTCATTGAATATCTTCTCGCGTCGTTGATTTCGTTCTTCATTGGCAGCCTTTGCTGCTGCCTCGTCTTGTTGGCGCTGCTGTTGGATTGCCAACAGGCGTGCCTTCTCGGCATCCTCTGCCTTCTTCTTCTCTGTGGCTGCTACCGTATACACCCGTTTCTTGGCTTCGGTAATCAAAGCCCGCATCCGGGCCTGATAGGGCTCGACGATTTCCCCGGACTTATGACCCATGTCGGCTGTTTGTAAGCGCGTGAGCACAGACCAGGTCGGAGGACTGCTGACGTGGCACTCCCTGCTGCTGACGTGGCGTGGCTGTCGGCTGACATGGCCTGCTCACGTGGTCTGCTGACGTGGCAACTCACCAATGCCGCCGCAGGGGGTACCCGGAAACAGATAGAGAAGACCAGCGGTGGCAACAACATAGGTGGGGAGGGGTGGGTTGATCGCCCAGATAAGGAGCCGCTAATCAAAAAGAAAAGTTTGAACTTTGCAAGTTCAGTAGGCCTCCCAATTCGAACTTTCAGACTGCAAATGATTATCCGATCAAAAAATTCCAAAAATAAAATAACAAAATATTTGGAATTACTCTAATGAAAGTACGGGCAGTTTGGAAAATGGTAACTGCAAGAGGAATTTCCCGTACCGTTCTTCAAAGAAAACGAATTCCGGAAAAAAAATATTCTGAAAGAAAGATATTCCGGATTTCCAACAACGAAATTTCAAATTTTCAGAGGAGAAATGAAAACGGAAATTTCAGGTGTTGCGCTATTGCGATTTTCCACAACCGGAATAGTGGGAAAACAAAATCCAAGAAAGAAAAAAAAATTGACTTTCGGCAGTTAGGTCAAAATTGCAATTTTGGGGGCTAATTAGTATGCTCTAATCAATCAATCAATCAAAACTAATTAACTACTTAGTCCCCGCACACGTGTCAGATCAGGTTGTTCTGATTCACGTGCGGTGTTTCGATACCAACTATTACATGCCCAGTTGGGCAATGTATGCATAGCCAAGGATCCGCAATGTGATAGAAAGGACTGAATGGACAATGCGATGTTAGTAGAATCTCGACAAGCAGTGTACATACTGATACATACAAAATGGCACTTCGTAGCGCAGTGGAAGACTTGGATACAAGTCCTGACCTGACCGCTACTGACAGGATATCCCATCATACTTCACACATGTGAGAGGAGGAGGAGATACCAAACGGCTGCATACCGTAATGGTGCAAACCAGAACAAGGACTGACCTCACGTAGTACAAGATAGCTCAGCGGAATGCTAGGATGCCAATGATCGACCCAATCAATGTTGCAATGCCGACTAAGCATACATCATCATCATTATGAAGGGGGCCTGGCGCTCACACAGGAAGAGTGCGCCAGCCCCAAACATCCACAGTCGTCACACAAGTGTCCCTGGTATCGATCCCAAATAGTCCCTCGTCAATATCTCCATTCCAAAGTCGAGTCTGTATCCCAATGTCGTCAACATCCCCAACGTCACCAATCTCTCTCTCGCTCGTAGTCTGCTGAGGCCGAGAAGTTAGATAGTGAGAGGGTGAGGGAGAGATGGTGGACTAAGAGGACGAAGAAGAACTCTCTCTCTCTCTCTCTCNCTCTCTCTCTCTCTCTCTCTCTCTCTCTCTCTCTCTCTCTCTCTCTCTCTCTATCTCTATCTCTCTCTCTCTCATGTCCCAGGTACTAACCTCTGAAGATGGTACCGTGCTGCAGGTACCTCGAAGACGAAGCAGATCTACAAATAATAACGCTGCAGGCCTTCACACTTCGCAAAGTGAGGGTGATGGGAATCTGGCCGAAACAGATTCTTCAGATCGGAACATCAATTCAGGACCTAGAATTTGACCCACAGGAGTGGGGCTGGCTCTCACAGAGAGACAGAACAAGCAAACCACCTACTCCAGTTTCTGAGTATACGGTCAAGCGAGGTTACGAGATGTTATTGAAAACAAAGTACCCAGGAGTTCCGGAACCAGTAATCAAGGACAGGTGGAGTAAGCTAATTGGCACTGACTAAGAACAAATATCTACAATCCTGTGGAAAAAAATACAAAACCATAAGACCAAACAATCTCAGAAGCATGCAGTGGCTCATAGCATATGCTGCCCTGTTGGTAAATCAATGGTTGCACATTAGAAGAAGATAGAATGATCCGAGTAGCTCCGATATCTGCAAAGCCTGCTCAGACCAGGAACGAGAAGACTTAAAGCACCAGTACATGGGCACCTGGGCCGCTGGCCTGACACCTCAAATTCTGGAGGCACGAAAGGAAAATGCCACCACTGATCGAATTTATCAACGGCGGGCCCAGCATTTGACGTTTCGGCCTCGTTTTCTTGTGGCGACAAGTTTCAGACTGCAAGGCTGGGGCCGTGTACTTGTGGTTTAATACACTGTCTGATCAGCTGCAAAGAAGCCACAGAATATTGGGTTAGGGCATCTGATCTATGGGACAGCCTTTTTCTATTTCCCCTTCCACAACACCCCTTCCAACTTCTCCTCTGGACTAACCTACCCTCTAACCTGAGAAAAACAGAAAGGATATGGTTCACAATGATACGCAAGGTCACACTCTGGGCTATTTGGAAAGAGAGAGGCAGCAGAACGCTGGAGGGCACCAAGAATCCACGGGAGAAGGTTTGGGCAGGCGCTACAGGGATGATCGAGGCGGAAATTCTACGCCCGTGGAAGATGGTCAAAACATGGGTGCAGAACAATCCGGAGACAAAAGAGATGGTGATGACAAAATTCAACTGGATTTGGTTGGCGAACGGTAAAGTGGCATGGCTAAACGGACTTAACTTGAGATGGAAGGACTGGCAAAACTCAGACACAGCTACAGGTCGGGATATCTCCCGGACACAAGAAGAATCATCTACAATCTGGGTGTGGCAGGGCAACTAGGCGGACCGGAAAAAATGACAACAGCAAGGCGTCCATGGACAGACGAGGACAAGAGGTATTGGAGAAGGCACAAAGAGCGCCCAGCAACAATGAACAAGGGAGATTGGACAGGGTTTGGCCTCTCTCAGAGTCTAGAGCTTTAAGTAGACCCGACAGCCAGGATACACCCTAGCTGAGAGGACTTCGAGTATAAAGGCAAGCTGACAGTGAATCCTCCATGAAGATGGAGCAATCAATGCCGTGCAGGGGTTCTTCGGCCAGACGGAAGGAAGCGTATATAGTTGTATTCTCTTGGCTTGCCAGTGGAAAAGGAACCAGACTGACGCTCCCCAGAATGGATATGGAGCCAGGACCATAACGCCCTGTTTTTTTTTGTTTTTTTTTGGGGGGGGAGGGGGAGGGGGGCGGAAGGAATTGTTGGCTCGCAAGGGCAGGGAGCAGCAACAACAGTACTAAACTGAATCAACAGAAGCAAAACAAGAGGAGAGGGCATGTAGGAGAAGGGGAGTGAGAGGAGAGAGGGGGGGAGGGGGGAGGGCGGTGTGTGTGTGTGTGTGTGTGTGTGTGTGAGAGAGAGAGAGAGAGAGAGAGAGAGAGAGAGAGAGAGAGAGAGAGAGAGAGAGAGAGAGAGAGAGAGAGAGAGAGAGAGAGAGAGAGACACACAGAGAGGGGGCTGGGAGAGAGGGAGAGAGGGAGAGAGGGAGAGAGGGAGGGAGGGAGGGAGGGAGGGAGGGAGGAGGAAAAAGGAAGGAGTAGGAAGAGCGGGAAGAAGGGAGGGAGGATCCGAGGAAGGATGCGGGGAAGCATGAGAGAAATATGGGAGAAAAGATGGGCTGCAAGGAGGATGGGAAGTGCCACTATCTCGAGTGCCGAGATAACGGCAGAAAGGATGTGCATTGGGAAAAGACAAAGCTGACGGGAAGCAGACCACAGAGGAGGAAATCATGACAAGATATTTCCAGGCCAAATGGCTGACATTCTATGAAGAGTACACAACATAAACAAGCACAGATGACTTAGCTGAAAATTCAGAGGCAGATTGAATATTGCAAGGAATATGAGTGTGAATGATATACAGAAAACCAAGTTGCGAAATCACACAGATGTCCAAGTAGCCGTGTACAAGCAGAGAGCACAATTGCACCGAGAATCCATCCAAATAGAGCAATACAATGAAGTAATGAGCCAATGTTCAAGCCCTCAGGCCACACCAACACAGCATCCAAAGTCGCTCCTCTCTGTCTGGCGCTCAGCGCCCAGCCTACTCTACTCGACTATCCTACCTACAGCCGTGTTCACGCAACAGGCTTACTATATACATGATGTCAACCCCATAGTCGACCTCTCTTCATGCACCAGGTACGTATCTCATCACCCTCATCAGACCTTGATAACCCACACTCGCCTCCTTCCCTGAAGACCACCAGATCGACCCCTCTTACCCCCTAGAGCCCAGCAGCCCGGCTATGGCTGCCAGCGCACCGCTGCCCTGCAGCGCCCCACTTCACCTCAATGCGCCCCGCAAGCGCCCTGGCCGCAGCGCAGCATCCAATGCAGCAGCGCGGCAGCGTGACCGCATTGCCTACGCGGGCCAGAATGCCTGGCCTGGGCTGCCTTACTTCCTATATGGAAGTGGCAGCATCCTGGATGCTGCATGTGGCCTGGCTGCAAGCTTCCAGTAGCTTCCGCTTGGCCTCAGTTCCTGCGCCCAGGCCCGAGACTACAGTTGAGGGCCTGGGCCCTTTACAGTTGAGCACGGCCTGTAGTCTCAGGACTTCGGCCGTTTGCTGCATTTGTGCAGGCCCCCGGGGTAGGTGCGTCGACAGTATTGCTTTTGCATAGGCCGATGGTCACTTCATCATGTATCGTCCCTGCTTTGTGCGTATGTGCCCAGGCACAACTGCCACAGCCTGGGCCAACTGTACGACGCAGCTTAATGAGGCTCGCGCGTCCACTCAACCAACTGGCGGGCTGCAACAGCCTGAATACCCATGTATGAAAATGTCGAATTTCGGCCTCTGATGAATATTCAGGCCCGCCTTCACTTAGGGCGGGCACTTGGCTTGCTGAGGGCCTATGCCCAGAACATGTGTTTGCCCAATGAGGGCCTTTGTGAGGGCTCGTTCCTCGCAATATGACCACAGCCCAAAAAATCATCTCAGCATTTCGACATGCAAAAGCTCCAGAAGACCAGTTGTGAGCAAGCAAAGTTGAACAGAGCGGAGAGAGAGCACTCCGAAGTAGGAGCAGTGGAACACACTGAACACTGAAATCTCTTGACAATGAAAGCTCTCTTCACGCCTCCAACAATCAGTAGAAGAACAATGGAGTAGCCTAGACAAATGAGAGATGGTTTACAGAAGCCTAAATTTCCAGACAATTTATCACGCCATTTATAACAAAACCCAAGGGCCATTGTAACCAAACTTGCCACCAATTCATACAGTGCACACCACATTAACTAACTGCAAAAAAAAAAAAAAAAAAAGCGAAGATAAATTTGATAAACACACTATAAAACTGCAAGGCAGAAGTGCACTTCCATGCAAATTTCACCAACATCCCATTTGAGAATTTTTCAGAAATATCAGAAATATCAGCAGAGGAATTTCCAATGCTCCAAAAGACACCAAATTTGGCACACAGCAACCTTGAACCAAAACGAAAATAGGCAAAAAAAAAAAATCAAAAAAGCATATAATTTAACCCCCAAATCCTAATTTCAGTTTAGGACCCATTAACCCAAGAGCTGAAAAGTGGGGGTCCCCATTAGCCACTTGTGACACACACTAGGGTACTCTCTCTCACTCTCTCTCTATCCACAAGACTCTCACCAGATGCTGATGTCTGCTCATACCTGTGCTCCTCAGCCAACACCAGGTAAGTACCACCAGTTCCGACTGTCTTCCTCCTCTTCCATAACCACCCCAATACCACCCCACCCTGTTCCTGCTCAGCACTGCCCAGCTATGGTAGGCACTGGCTTCAGCAGCTACCTCAGCTGCCTTCCTCCTGCCTGGGCACTATCTAGCTGCAATGCGCTCCTTCAACACTGCCGCACTGCTGCCAATGCCCAAATGTGTTGTTCTCCACAGCCGCCTCTGTTTTGTTCTGTCTGGAGGCCAGGGTTTGGATCCCTGGAGACAGTCACTACTCCCTACTGGCATGAGTCTGCACCCCATACCATATAACTAACTGACAGGTTGGGCCTATTACATGGACTGGGGCTGCAAACTCTGCCCAGTCTATTCATGTGCAGCCTTCACTTAGGGTCGGCTTCACTTTTCCTCGCCGCAGCCTTCACATAGAGCGTTTTAGGGGCTCGCTGAGGCTAGGAGCCTCACACAGACACAAGCAGGACAGCACCCGTTACAGGAATGCAGAGCGACAGAGCGAGATGCCTGGTGAGCCCTGGGTATGGAGATAAGGAAAACAGAGATAAGGAGTCATCGAGAGCAGATCAAGCCGAAGGCAAAGGAATACCAAGAAGGGTAAAATGCTGATGAAATGCATCCAAGGCTCCAAGCCCAGTGATGAGCACATACATAATAGGATGGATCCACAGAGGACAGACAGCAAATTAAATCAAGGGCACAACCCACCCATCATCATGCACCACAACGTGTTAGGTGATGATTGATAGCAGGAGGGAAAGACTAGAGGGACAAAAAGGTCAGCGTAGTTTCAAACGATTTTAATCCTGCTTCGCGGGGAAGAGGGTATTGGCCTGTACCCAGAAAGTGACTTCGGCAGCCACGAGAAACTGGACAGCTCAATTGTTTTGTTCCTTTTTCACCAAAAAAGAAAGAGGGCAGCCAAGCCAAGGAATGAGCAAACTAACTTCATAGGAAAACTACCATCAGACATTCCAACCCAAGTCAAGGCTTAGAGTGAAACCAAACAGACACCATAAGGTTGTTTTTTTCATGACAGCTTGAAGCTTAAACCACCAGTACTTGGCCCACCCATTGGCCGCGGAAAAAAATAGAGTAGAAATGTTTCTAGTCGGATGAATTTGGGCGCTCCTGTCGCAGCCCATATGTTTCCTAAAATTGTGGCTCGTTAACGGGCAGGACTTTAGGAAGTACTGGTGGTTTAAGACGTGGGTAACTTGTTATGGATATATAAAAGAAAGGGCAATAGTCCTAGAGTTGGAGTCTCTACCTGGATGGCAAGGTGATGTACACGCATGCATAGTAGAGTTAAACAGGGGGAAGGGTCACTCCTTTTCCCATAAGGTTGTGCTTTTTGTTCTTTCTTTCTCCTTCTGTTTTCATTTTGCTTTCCATTCCCTAATACCACTGGAAGGTTGATGTGAATACCCCTCACACCAAACTCAACATGCCAGGCCACCTATCTTTGAAAAGGCCTTCCCTGATGTCAAACTTCACACCCACAGGACCAAACCACGACCCACCACAGAGATCAGCTCCACATCATCCCCCTTTCCATACCGTGCGACACCCTCCATTGGTATGAGAGGTTATTAGCCAAGGGGGTCTGACCCTGACGGCAGTCACAAGAACAAAATCAGCAGGCCAGGAAAAGGGACACAGTGCCAGACAAGTATGAAGACAAACAGGTGTGACACAAGGGAAATGGGTGCCAGAAGTCAAGGGAGGGATCACCTGCGCGGAGGTGTGCTTCAACCAGCTGAACATAATCTGCGATAGTTGCAGGGAGAATTCCCTCCAATGCATCATTATGCTCTGTGGCATTGGCAGCAAGCAGCTCTGCCTGAGCACCTGTCGTACCTGCTGCACTGCTTCCTTGTTCCTTGAAAGCACAAAAGGCATTAACACAGGGAGAGAGAGAGAGAGAGAGAGAGAGAGAGAGAGAGAGAGAGAGAGAGAGAGAGAGAGAGAGAGAGAGAGAGAGAGAGAGAGAAATGGGGAGATGGCCCGAGGGAGGGGAAAGGGGAGATCAACGGAAAAAAAGCAGTGAGCCCACATGCACATGGAAACCGACAAGAGAGGAATTGGGTTTGCCCTAAGAGTTATTTAGAGGCACACCCCCATACAATCTTCCCTGACACTCATACTGCATGGGATTTGCCCTAACAGTTATTTAGAGGCACACCCCCATACAATCTTCCCTGACACTCATACTGCATGGGACGAGAGAGAGAGGACATAAAGCAGTGAGTGACCTTGACCACTGAGGACCAGCCTGATGGTTCATGAACATAAAGAGGTCAGACAGACTTGAGGCAAAAGAGTGGATTTGACCAGAGAGCCATTGTGGCATACATGGACCTCTCACACGGGCTCTAGGGTCCCGATCTCGGATTACGGGGCTCTGACGCTGCATGACTCACATTTTGGGCGGTCTTAGGGCCTTTGGCATGACTTTATGCTTTGGTTTGTTGCATTCAAGCAGAGGGAGTCAGTCTGTCTTTTGCCGCATTTTATTATCTTTTCGCTGGCAAACTTTTCGGTGTTTTTTTGTTGCTCTCGTCGACAACCGTGGTAGCCCTGCGGGTTCTGCGCTGTCGGCCCTCAACCCTCCTCTATGCACGGTTGGTGCTAGGCTGGCACCCAACACACTGTCCCCCAGCTTAGTACAGCTCATAGACAGATCAGCTGTTGTAGTAGCTCAGTGGGTTGAGCTAGGGTTCTGCAAGGGCGAGGTCCAGGGCTCAATTTCAATCAGCCCTTCGCATCGCACAGTACGGGTATTGCTAAGGTGCAGGGAAGGGCCTGGTAGGCCTAGTGGAGTGGATGATCACATAGTATTTTGGTTACCTTAGGGCCTTGCGTAGAGGGGTAGAGCTGCAGGTAGGATGGGGATGGGGCCATTTTAGTGGAGGGATTGCCTGCTTCCCATGACAAATAGACCAGAGTAGGCCCAGTTGACGACACAGGTATGGCAGCAGATGATGGCTGTGTACATGCTGATGACCCAGATGGGAGGTGCTCTGGGTGATGACAAGACGCAACTGCAACGACTGGAGGAGTCTACCTGATGAATGAGGCATGGGGATGGATGCGGCCAGGAACCTATTGATGACAGAGGCTAGAAAAACTCCCGTTGATAAACAACCAATAACGACCAAAACAACAGACACAAGTGACTGGAGAGGGGTCTAGTGGACGACTAGGATAGAGGGGCGGATAGTGGCCGTACATCAACTGATGATAGGCTAGAACCTCTAGGTCATAATCAGAACAACAGCAGTACAACCACAAGCAACTCAAAAGTGAAGAGGGGTCTCGTGAACGATTAAGGTAGGTGGGAAGGTGGTGGATGTACACCTACTGATAATAGGCTGGAACCTCCAGGTTGTATTAACAACATGACTTGAACAACTGATAACAGCGGTGCTAGGTACGTATACATGGGTTGCTCAGGGGGTGTCATAGGTTAGACCTTGGCTAGCAAGACTAGATCCATACACTGGGGAGCCCAGGTCCGTTTGGGGGGCAGATGGTATACCTGTGGCGCCTCTAGAAAGAACGCTTACGCCTATTGCCCCAAAAAAAAACATGTCGCATCCTGAGAAGCCTGTGTTTTTCTGATAATTCCTTGTCTTTAGCTCTGTTCTTACTGAGGTTTCCATGCCTCATTGCTTTTGGCTTGCCTGTGCATGTATGTGCCATACTGCAAAGTCTCGGGTTGATTCCACATGTCTGAGTACGGGCCCTGTCCACGTGTTTCTGTGCTATGCCTCGGGAGGGACAGAATTGGAAATAGTTCTAGACATGGGTAGGAAGGAAATTTAGCAGCACCAGGACCTGTGGGCAAAAGTAGCACAGGCAGGGACAGGTAGGGACACAGTAAGGAGTTTCTGGCAAGTTGGAGAGGCCTGGTGTCCGGTAGGTTTAAAGGAATCATTTATGTATTAATGACCATCAATGTATTTGGAAATAGTTTTAGGCTTTTAGCTTTACGCCAAAATCGTTTCAAATATATGTAGTGGATTTAGCCGCATTAAGATTGACGAATCCTATTTTAGCTATTACAATGTCTATTACTACGTTTTTTTTGGCAGGAATACCTCCATAAGCAGGATTTTGTGGCAAATTTCATATTTTTCTTGCTGCTGTTGCGACTTCGCTCGCAAACAAAAAGAAGATGAGGGGTGCATCTTTTCCTGGTAGGGGGTGCCTGTTTATTTATTGAAGCACTGTTGATGGGCAATGGCTCGCTTCACACACACTGATTAATTAGGGAGTACAGGTGTGGCACCAAGGAGAGAGCAGCCAGGCGGAACGGAAGGTGAGACAAAGCAGGAACATTTGTGAGCAATGGCATGCAACATGGCAAACGCTCTCTCTCTCTCTCTCTCTCTCTCTCTCTCTCTCTCTCTCTCTCTCTCTCTCTCTCTCTCTCGCGTGTGCGTGCATGACCCCCTATGCGACCCAAAAAAGAAATCCTTTGTTTTCATCAGGCCAAAGAAAGGGAAAAAGGAAAGTGCACACGGAGTGATGAGGGAGGAGGTATGGAGAAGGGAGGGAGGAGAGAGGAAGGAGGTCGGACGGAGGGAGGGAGGAGGGAGGGAGTACGCAGAAAAGAGGAAGGGAGCGGACGGAGGGACAGAGGAGGGAGGAGGTCAGGCAGAGGAAGTATGCAGAAAGGAGGGAGGGAGCTAACGGAGGGATGAAAAGGAAGGGAGTAGGTAGGGCGGAGGGAGGAAGTACGCAGAAAGGAGGTAGGCGGGAGGAAGGGCCAAGGAGACAGTATAGAGGAAGGAGGAAGGAGGAGGTCCCACGGGGGAAGGGAGGAAGAGGTCGTGTGGAGGGTGTGCTGAGGTTGTGCAGAGGAAGTTAGGAGGTGGAGCAACCTGAAGATTGAGGGAGGTGCTTAGAGGTGGGGAAAAAACCCTCCATTGGTACGGAGGTCCTGGCGGTGTAGGAGAACTGCCAGTGGTGTGATGGGTGTACAGGCCCACATTGGGCTATGGTAGAAGGTTGAGAGCCTGATCCACACTCCCAAGGTTGGCGCTGCTGCAAGAGGGCCCTTTCAGGGTTCCACTGGACAGTAGTTCACCGAGAGAGTGGCATTGCTGACACTGTTGCAGGAGATAGCAGGGGTTGTGTCATCCTTTGTACATGTCGCAGGTTGACTTGACATTGATAGTCATGCTGCTGGGAAGGGAGTTACTTCTCACTGGCATTTGTTGGGAGATCTTTTGGACATCGATTCCTGATTCAACTATGTATTCTTTCAATTTCTTTGGTTTCTTAAAGAGCAATACGGAAGAGGAGGAGGAGTTCAAGGTTTATGATAAGGTGACAAGATGAGGAGGGAGATGAGACAGGAGTCCTATTCTTCTTCTTCTTCTTCTTCTTCTTCTTCTTCTTCTTCTTCTTCTTCTTCTTCTTTGTCTTCTTCTTATCTCTCTCCTCTGTCTCCCTCTCAATCTCATCTCTAGAATTGCAATTCATGTACGTGTTTCAAATTTGAGTTTTGCTTCATGATTGAACTGGTGCCATAAAAAAGTACAGAGAGGGAGGGTCCTTCAGGACATCCGTTAAAATTGGAACGATACAGAGAAGATTAGCATGGCCCCTGCGCAAGGATGACACGCATAAATCGAGAAATGGTCCAAATTAAAAAAAAAAAAAAAAAAAAAAAAAAGGAACAGAGAGGGAGGGAGGTGAACTCGAAAGTGAAGAGTGAAGAAAAAAGAACAATGACAGGGAAACAATAAGACGAGGAATAGGGAAGGGCATAGAAAGCAAGCTTATTGCTAGAGACTGAGGAGCAGAACACGGGCACATGAGTGCCACAGTTGATGAGACAACAGGAATGAGTTCATGTTATTGATCTGTAGAATTCTGCAACAAGCATCTACCTTCGCCTGGTTGTAGAGGTATGTACACAGAATACGCCAGAACAAAGCTTCCTCAGCAACCATCAGGAGTATCCTTCTTCCACTCTTCTGGTTATTCGTGTTCCCGTCGTTCGCTGGCAAGTCTAATTCCACAGCTGGTGCATCTGCAGAGACTCCAGCATGAAAACATCCCAGGTGGGACTTAATGAACAGCCAACACGACACCAACAATACAGTAACACAAAAGCAACGGCAGTGCACCAATAGAGAGCAGGAAAGTGCCATGTGACAGTTGAGTCACAGTAGAGGCGAAGTAATTGCACAGTGGAGGCACAGTGGAGGCACAGTAGAGACACAGTAGAGACACAGTAGAGGCACAGTAGAGGCACAGTAGAGGCACAGTAGAGGCACAGTAGAGTCACAGTAAAGTCACAGTAAAGTCACAGTAAAGTCACACTAGAGCACAGTAGGGCCACAATAGAGTCACAGTAGAGACACAGTAGAGCCTTTAATGTAGCAAGTTTGACCAGCACTTTTTCACGACCTGAGGACGAATTCATTGAGTACGTGCTTCGAATTCTTCTAGACAAGTCTTTGGGTTACTACATAGAACTCCAACCTGATGGTTGCCTGGGAGTGCCTTTACCTTAAAAGGGAGATGGCCTTGAGATATCATCATTGAGCTGACGGGCCCCAGGCAATTCAGAAATAGCTGGTTTTACTCATCAAGTTCCATCATCTGGATTCGAACATGGGTCTTTATTTCAACAGTTCATGGGTGTACCCACTGAGATAGGCTCTTCGGTAGGGACTGCCTTTTCCACTCACTAATTTTTCCCAATTTTCTACAGTTTGGAAAGTGATTCAGAGTGGAATACTATGGTCAGTGCAATGAACTTTGTGGTACCAATCATCCATTTATGCATGTGGTAGTGAAAGATGTCTCTTTCAGGGATTACGTTTCTTAGACGCGTAATAAATTAGACCAAAAAACAAAGGAGCAAAGCAATGAGTTGCAAATATGCTGTGCTGTATCTAAATTTTCTAAAGCTTTCACTGACAAGTTTTCAAAGTTTTGAAAATGTGCTTGCACATGAAAATATGTGTCCCACCAAGCGTAACACTTCCAGCATCTCTTGACCCCCCGCGTGCCACGCAACTGGCACTAGCTAACTCCCGGCGCACAGCCCGCCCATGAGGGATGAGCTGTGCACTGGAAAGTGAACAAGTCCCACCTGATGAAGCAGCACCAGCTGCTGCAGAACTCCCACTTGATGCAAGAATGTCCAATGCAACGACACTGTCACGAGGTGTGGCTGAAGGGGCAACACCTGCTGCAAAACTCCCTCTGGACGCAGGAACCTCTGGTGCTGCAACGCTGTCACAGGGTGTGGCTGGTTACCTAGCCCAACGGTTGTGTGCGAGCTGCACACCAAGTATTTTCTCGTCCGCCTAACTGTCCTCGTTCTCCACCTCCTCAACGCCTGCATCAGCAGCCTCCCCCGTGTCATCAGATATCAGACGCCAAGGACGATATGAAAGATCAACAAGCCACCTTCCATCATCCTCAGTCTCCTGCAACAGTGGACAAAGGTCGAATTTCGTCACCAACCGCGTGATTTGGACCAGTTTGCAGCCCTCCTCACGAACTTCTCTTGGTCATACTCCCCGTCTCTCATGCACCCATCAAAGGGTGCAACATCCTCTGAGGTCTCCCAATCAAAGCGCTCAATGTTGACAAAGCCCGTCGTAGTCCTGGACATGCTAAGAAGCTTCGCGTTCCAGTGGATGAACACGAGCATCCGAAGGTTCTCCAGGCTCAGCAGATTCCTCCTCTTCTTGCCCGAAAACCAGGCCTATCCATCCAGCCTGGTCCTGCCTGGGCTGGGAAGCCCCGCCAGACAAACCTAGTTTCAAGATTCAATAAATAACCTATACACAAAGGTTGTGACTGGCAATCAGAGCTGGAAGAAGCAGAACAAGAATAGACAGATGCATATAACAGGGAGTGCTTAGAATATCCTTGCAGCAAGAGCGAATGGTACACCCACAATGAGACAAATCCACTCAATGCTGCCATGTTTTGACCCACTTTTTGAAAGAATGAAAGAGATGCAGCAATAAGGATGAGCAGGATGAAAAGAGTAGAGGACCGTAGGGAAAGGATGAGAGACTGTTGATATAGGCGAGGGAGAGGGAAATGTTTATGGACACAGCAAGCCTGAGGCACTGTCTTGAACAGTCGACACCTCTGTCGCTTTGGGACCCCATATGCTGCTACTGCCATCAACTGTCTCCATTTCCTCAGTCTAAAATTTAGAGAATAAAACTCAAAAAAAAAAAAAAAAAAAATGGAGGGCAAACAGCCATTACTGACCTCCGACGTCCTCATCCGCAGAAGCAAAATACTGCTGGATTCCCATTCCTTGCTTTGCCTTGACTAAGCCTTGTTTCAACAGCTCCTCAAGGACCAACTCCCCAACTTCCTCATAAGTTTCCACATCGAGCAATCGAAGCAGTTCACAGACATCAGCATTGCAATCCTTGACCAACCAGAAATCCCGCATCATCTTCACACATTCGTCCCTGACACCCTGCACTCTGTCCTGAAGTCCTCTCTTCAGGACAGTGACCCGCTGTGCAATGCTGAATCGTGTTCCACCCATTCCATGACAAAATCAGCCAACAAGCAAAGAAGAAGATTAGCATACAGCATGCACCCCACGCAAATGCAAACGATCAGCCAACACTTGAAATTCACGTCTTTGTGCTTCATGAGTGTCCCCAGAGGTCACAGTGAATGCTAGACAATGATGAGCTTCAACCAACTTTCTTTTTCCTCTTTTCTGCTTCAGAAAAAAGTACCGAACCTGGCCTCGTTAGGCTAGGCAGGTCAGATCTGTACATAGTGGCCTCATAACCCTGGACTTATTTCGTTGAACCTGTTAGTTTTGCAAGAAGATAATCAATGCGAACAACAATACACCAAGTTGCGACATTTCACAGGAGACGAGACATCCTTGAGCCGAAATTGAAAGCAGAGATCAAAGCAAGTATCACACCGAATAGGAACGAGCAAAGCACTGAAGTCTCTTGATAATGAAAGCCCTGCCAATGCCTCCAATGACCAATGCAACAACAATGTAACCCTCCTACAGGCGGCTACACCGCCGACTCTACCTCCCACAGCTCCTATCAGACTAGCCTAGTATCATCAACTTGCCCACGTGTCATCATCCCAATGCCGCTTGAAGACTCTGATCGATCCTCTTCTCTCACCTCGCTGCCACCGCACAGCTTTCTCCTCGGGTAAAGCATCAAGCAGCCGTTCGCACAGCACTGCCGCATGTGTGAATGCCCAAATGTGCAATGCAGGGCGCTCTCCAGTCTTTTGTGGCGGCTGGAGAGGCCGAGGAGGCCCCGTCCAGGCTGCGCCCTGGGCCCTTCCAGAATCTGCCTACCAGTAAGTTGAAGATGCTGCACTCGTGCAGCAACTACACGGGGCCCCCATTCTGCTCAATTGGCCTGTACTGAGGTCAGGCCTCGTTTTGCAGGCCCACCTTCACTTAGGGTGGGTGGCACCTTTTCCTGGCTGAGCAAGGTGCTGAATCTTCGCAGCTTCCCTGGCCTTCAAGCAAAGAACCTAAAAATGTTGGGCCTACTGGGCCACAGCACAAGGGCAAACTCAGGAGACTATCTTCGGACAGGTAATGTCTCTTGTCGAAGGGGCTACATGTGGTGGTAGACAGTAGAAATGCAACCCTATTCAGTGTCTGGATCTTGATTGTATGGAGTTTTCACCATTGAAAGTTAAAAAGGAAAATTCAGGGAATGTTAAATGAAAGAGTCCCAAAAGTGGCCAATCGGCCTAGCTCAGTTAGTTGAACACGTAAGTGGTACACAGGAGGTCATGGGTTTGATTCCCCACGGCATCCATTTGACGCCCCACGACCCCCTGTGTGGTATACTTCGGGTTCACCAACTGAGAAAAGTCGGCTTGTCCCTCCTGGCTGGTTGTGGAAGTGTTCGTGTCTGCTCACTTTCCAGCCCGCGCCAGGTGTTAGGAGCTTGGGTGCTGCTCCCCACACAGAGCAGAGTTAGGTAGGTGTAGACCCATAATCTTAGGATACTTCAGGTATAGTTAGTACATTTAAGGCTGGCTCCTGAGTCGAGAAACTGCTTCCTCCGGAATAGGTGTGACCCATTAGTTAGGTAGGTAGGGTGAGGCAGATAAGATTGAAAGACGAAAATAGGGTAGCAAAAGTACTGCAAGGAACATGAAAATGGACGAAGCACAGAAATCCAGATTGCAAAATCACACTGAAGTCCAAGTAGTCAAAGCAAGAGCAGATAGCACAATGGAACCGAGTAACCATCCATTTGAGAACGATACAGAAGAATCGTGAGTCGATGTCCAAGCCCAACAGGGCAACACCAACAGCATAACCCAATGTAGCTCTCTCTCTTGAATGGCGCCAGGCGCCCTACCTACTCTACAGCCTAACACTACAACTACAGTATGAAAGCAACCAGACAACTTGACGACCAGCGAGTGATGATGTCAACACCAATGCCGACCTCCACCTCCACCAGGTACGTCTCCCTCTTCACCCACACTCTCCCTCGTTATCCCACACAGCGCCCTTCACCTCCGAAGAACCACCTTCGCCCTCACCTCCCCTGCGCCCTCAGGCAGCCCGGCTATGGCCGCCAGCGCCCTGTGCACAGGCAGCGCCCTACCGCCTAGCGCCTGCCTGTCTCGCACCTCAGCCTAGCGCAGCGCAGCAGCTCGCATTCGCGCAGCGTGCCGGCATTGCCCGCAATGGCCAAGATCCTTGCCCACTCGCCCTGCTTGCCTATATGCCAGTGTTGCGTGTGGGCGGCCTCCCTTCAGCCTGCGTCTGGGCCCCAGTGCCTGAACCCAGGCCCGATGCAGTTGAGGCCCGGGGGATGCAGTTGCGCCTCTTTCTTCAAGGCCTGCGGCCAGATTCAGATAGTGGGCCGATTTCCCTTTGGCATTTTCGGCCTCTATACCCAGCATGCATTGTCGGCCTCACGTTCAAGTGCCCAGGGCCTAACTAACTCAGGGGCCCTGGGATTTCCACATTTGCAGAGATCCGAGACTCGGTGCACTCCAACCAACTGGCGTGCTGCAACTGTATGGACCCCACTTCGTGAAATGTTTGCACAGAGGGCTCTTGTTGATTTGCTGGCCCGCCTTCACTTAGGGCGGGCACTAGGCTTGCTGGGGCCTTAGCCCAGAACATGTTCATCATGGCATGGCCCCTTCTTGAGGGCTCAATCCTCACAGTACAGCTTGTCCCCCATATATGAGGAGAAGACGGCTGTATTTAAAAATAAAAATAAAAAAGAGGAAATTAAAAAACAAAGAAAAAAACAGTCCCAAAAGCATACCTACGCCGGACCAGGCTCCGGACCGAATCCAGACCCCAGACTCCGGACATCTGGACATCCGGACCGGTCCGGAACCCCTGTCCGGATGTATGTCCGGAACCCCTGTATTTTCCGGGGGGGGGGGGGAACCAACCGACTGTGGGGGAGAATGCTCAATCTCAGGTCTTCATCTCAACAGTTCAAGGGTGTGCCACAGAAAGGCTGAATTATGCCGTTGGGGTGCATTGGCTGTTTCGTTCTTTCGAAAGGGCGACGACCTTGAGGTTATGAGATATCGCTGGATTCGAACTTGGGTCTGCTAAGTCAACTTTGTTGCGGTTTCCCAATAGGAAATCCATGGATCAAAGAGAGCTTCTCCCCATGGCGTTTCGGATTTCAACAGGTCGTGGGTGTGCCAAAGTGGGCTAGGCCCGTTGGAATGCCGTTGGCTTTTTGTCAACGGCCACATGAAAAAAAAACAAAGCTTAAAAAAATAAACAAAGCGTGAAAAATGGAAGAAAGAGAACTCAAAGAACCCACCAAGTGGCAGCCAGAGGGAAACCTGGAACAAAAACTACCCCCATATGTTGCAGGCACTGTTCCTTTGGCGCGTGGGAAAATGGCGAGCCTCCGGTGGGCCACCGAGCTTTTCGGAGGCCGAAACGTAACAACGGCCGCCGATCAGATTTATCAATGGCAGTCGTCGTCGGGCCCGGCCTCCGAATCTTTAGGAGTTTGGGAAAACAGCCAGTTTTCCCTATTTTCCCACGCGGGAAAGGTACTAGTGCTTTAAAATGGCATATTCGTTTCGGCTTTTTTTTTCTGTTGATGTCGTTTATCTTTTGCTGGAATGTACAAGCGTCCAATCCAAGGAAAGTACACACGAATTGAGAGGACATAATCATGCCCTTCTGCCAAAAACAAGCAAAAAAATAATAATAAATTGGTTTCCCTTGGAGAGCTGGCACACAGCATCACTCCACTACTCACCACATGCACAAATGACAGAACATATGTTGGTGTATCTCTTCCATGTTCTAGCGGAAGATTCATTCTCATTTCGCACATTTGGTGAGCAGTGGAGCGAGGTCCAAAGCCCCCATAGGGCCTCCCTTCTCTACTCTCCACAAGCAAAAAGACAAACAAGATGGCAATGTATCTTTCCATGTTGTAGCGGTGGATTCAGTCTCATTTTGCACATTTGGAGAGTAGTGCGGCGAGGCCCAAGTCATTGCGGGCGCCCTTTCTGACGGGCACTGTTTTCTTTCTGAAAGTAGGATCTTTCCTTTCGTTTTCTTTTCAGACTTTCTTTATTTGGGCGGGGGAATGCACTAAGCCACCTATCCTGGGAAGATAGGGGCGAGTCTGATAAGGCCCTTGTCCAAACGACAAAATACCAGAACGAGGCTGGTTTGCTTTGAAACGAGGGTGGGGCGGGAAAACAAAACTTAGGGCCTCCGTCCAGCCCTGTGTTGCATACCGTATAGGTGCAGACCAGAACAAGAACCGACCTTTCAATACAAAGTATAAGATAGCACAGCGGAAGACATAGATACTAGTGATCCGAACAATCAATGTGGTAATGCAGCCCTGAACATACATCATCATCATCGTTTCATAGTGTGAATGGGTCTGGCGCTTCACACAGGAAGACAGCGCCAGCCCAGAACATGCACAGACGAGGAGGAAGGGGATAGACGAAGAGGAGGGGGAAGATGGGAATGTCGTCAACACCAAGTCTTCGGCACAAGCCCAAATAGTCCCTCGTCAAACTGTCTGAATCCCAAATGTCAAGTCTGGA